GGTAAAATGTGTGGCTTAATAGTTGTCTGTGTGTAATTATGATGTGTTGGTTGTGCTTGTGTTGCTAACTGGAGAGTGCGGTCCCTTCAGGAAGGCAGGGGCAGGTCTGCCAGGTACTGTGCACAGCGAGTGAGACCCAGATGTCACCAGTGATGAATCCTAGGAAATCCAGTGGTTGCTTACCCATCCATGGATGTTTGTCCTTACCCTAGGAACAGATTGGAGTCTCTCAGTAGACCCCATGGCTATATTAAGGATGTCATATATGCATTTGGGAACGCAGCTTAGTGCAGTAACCGTACTAGGAAGCAGATAAGAGTCCCTGGTTATCCAGGAGGCAGTAATGTAGAGTGTGATGTCGTGGAGGTCGTGAAGAGATACCCGGGATGCTGTAATCCACAGTAACAGTGCAGTGTGTGCTAAAAGAGAAGTGATGTCATGTGCTGAAAGTGTCTGGAACCATCAGAAATAGACCCGGCGATGACCACAGGAGAACAGGTCTAGGGCACATGGTCTAAAGAGTGTATTGGAGAAGCAGCAACCTCGTTGCTTACGTGCGGCTGCTGAAAACAGGACTGATACCAGCAAACCACAGAGCAACACTCGAGCAAGAGGAGGAGGCAACCAGGAAGCACCTGCTCTGGCAGATGGCACCCACCAAACCAAAGGGGGAACAGGGGCAGCAGAGCCACGGGCCACCCCAGGAGTACAGAGGGCAGGCTGGGAGAGGAACACTCAGCAGTTGAAGCTGAACAGTCCCTACCCCAGCATCTGGTGGTGCCTTATCACAAGTGCTGTTGAAGACAAGGGTATGTGCTATGGGAGCCAACCTGGCCACCTGCATGGTAGGTTTCCTGCTGGATGTTCACCTGCAGGTGCCTTCATGGCTGTTTAGGTGAGTATTGAGGTTTTGTTTGCAGTGGTGTGTTGCTCCTCCAGTGTTCCTCACTTAAACAGCAGGTTTTGGGGAAGATAAGTATGGGTTATATGGTTTGTCTGTACTAGCACTTATATTAGTACTTGCTCCAGTTAGTGCTTTGATTTGATTATGTGTTTTGGTATAGGCAGTGATAAGGGTTACAAATTTGTATCTTCTTGTCTTTGATGCAGCTAAGCACAGATTAGCTGAGGACACTTATTCCCTTAGCTTCTCTCTCCACATGTGTTCTGATTGTCCTCCCTAATTCTGACTACTCATCGACGTGTCTGTAGTATTAGAGACTGCAGCGTGATACAACTGAATTGGTTCAGAGCAGCAGAGGCTTGCTCATCTCCTTCAGGTACACAAGACTCAAAGGGTGCTCGCCCAGGCTGCTTGCATCAGGCAAAAGTTTGTTCTGTGTTTTGGTGACAGAAGATGAGAAAAGAGATGTAAAAACTGTAGTCTTACTGGGTGTTTTCAGGGAAGCTCAGTAGATGTTTGGAGAGTGATTCAGGAGCTGGAATTTTCCTTAAGATCACAAAGACTTCTGAAAAACAAACAAGGAATAGGATTCTAGTCCTTCTGTCATACTTCTGTGGTAGTGAGCTGGTTTAGATGGAATGTAGCTTTACTAAGGTCACCTTTCCACTTCTCCCTCTCTGTATACTGACGCAGTTATGTGCTTGCTGTCAGGGCTGTAGTGTGCCTGGATGAGGCCCAACATCCTCACAAGGGGGCTAAGGTTGGAGAAGAGACCTCTGTGCAGCAGCCAGCCTGTTGGAAGGGTGCCCTGTTAATAAGGTGGGCAACAACACTGCCTCTCCAGATAGCTGCAAACCAGCAGGCCTTTGAGGAGGAGAAGGCAGCTCAGAGCGAAAGGGGAGGAAAGCAGGGGGCAGAGGACTTGCAGGCTGAGAGGCTGTGGGTCATTTTAATACTTACAACAACTCTGTGAGCTGGTGTAGTTTGTACCGCTTGTACTGTGTGCAGGAGAATTGGGTTTGACGCGGCAGTGAGCGGGGAAAAGGCCGACACGCTCTGTTCATCCTCCTTTTGCACGTGTATTTTCTATGGGATTCTTAAATCTAGATGTTAAAGCCATCTTGATTTTGATTTTAGTTTTAGTTTGTGTAGTCCCATTCATTCAGAAGCAGCTCTGTGTGTCAATACCCCTCTAACCGCATCAGCACTGAAAGTATGTTGCTGTGGCTGAGCGTGTGGAGCAATGGGAGCCTGTGCTCTGCTCCTTCCTAAACAAGCTCTTCAATTCTACCACTTGCAAAGCTGGCCAGATTTATTCCATTATAGTTTCCCTGTGGAGTCATTCTGACTGTACCATTGCCCAGTATCTTGGTGCTGGGCACAGTGAAGAGAGAGCATGGCAGTTCTGTATTAAAGTTTTCTGTAAAGCCTTAAAAAGCAAACTAAAAAGTAGAAACAAATTAAAGGTATTTTCTTATACATGCATGGCTGTTTCCAGCTCCCCCTCAAATCTCTACCCCTGAGGGAGCTTTGTCTGGTTCCCCCTTTGCCTCTGCTCCATCCTTGGGGAGGATGAAGGGATGGATGTCCTACCTCCTGGGGTACGAGCAGATGCACTCACTCTCTCGCTGTGAGGTTTAGGTGCTGCTTCACTCCGTGCCTTTGGTCTGCTGCATAGCTCAGAGCCAGTTCTGACTCCACACTGTGCTGACTGCTGCAGCTGTGAGCATTGTCCCTCCCTGAACTCCCTCCCTCCTTGCTTCATCTTCCTACGTGTGCTCTTGCAAGCTTCCTTTGTGGAGAGGATGAGGCAAAAAAAAGACCTTGTGCTTTGCACAAGCAGTAGCTTCCCATATGGAGACCAGGCCCTTTCTGCAGAGAACCTCTCCTGCAGCACAAGCTCCTTTGCCCTCCTTGCTCTGTGTCTGTAGGTGGGTGCTCGGATGAGCCGCCCCACTGGGCAGGGATGATAACGGGGCAGGCAGGGCCGTGCTGTGCGGGTGAGGAGGGACACAGATAGTGGGGAAAGCAGCTGCTGGATGGGCTCAGTTTGGGGTGGAGCTTCTTGTATTTCACTTTTTTGTCGGTGGGAGCTCTGCGTGTGTGAAGCAGATGACTGAGCAAACTGTTTGTCCCCACACTGATCTTGCTTGGAGGATCCTGATACTTAAATACTGTCACAGGCAGGCAATACGTGTGTTTGCCTTGAGAATGACTTTCCTGCTCAAAGCAAGGAGGCTTTATTGCAGTTTGGTTGGGTTTTCTTTCTCTCCCTCACTGGAATAGATGTAATTGGGATCAGGAGCAGTTGACTTGGTCTTTGAGTCCTTCTAACCGGCCTAAAATTCCTCTGGAAGACTATTGTGTAGTCATTCCCTATCAGAATTCTTCTAGGAAAATTGTGGAGTCTTGGAAAATGTATTTCCTGTCTAACGCCGATCCTCCTACTCTCAATGAATCACTTGTGCTCTCGTGTTGCTTTGGGCTCCCTTCCCTATTGACTTCAGTGCTGGGATTTAATTGGAAACCTAGGGATGTTGTTTGGAGCTATGAAACTACACAGGATTCTTCTCTGTGCAGTGGGATTACACTGATAAAAAATGAAGAATATTAAATATTTGCATATTAACTGTCCATGGTGTGAACTGAAGAGCTGCTTCATGGTTCTGCATACACCGCTGCTGCAGACTTCCTTTTATCCCGTCCCCAGCGTAAAGCAGCGTTCCCTCCCTTTCCAGTCCTGTAAACAGACCTTGTGCATGGGATGGAGTCTGTAGTACACACGGAAGGGTGGGTTTTCCTGGGAGAGAAGTCAGAAGAACCGCAGAAGCTGGAAGAGGGGAGGTAGAGATGAGACATTAGACAGCTCTTCCCTGTGAGGGTGCTGAGGCGCTGGCACAGGGTGCCCAGAGAAGCTGTGGCTGCCCCATCCCTGGCAGTGCTCAAGGCCAGGTTGGACACAGGGGCTTGGAGCAAGCTGCTCCAGTGGAAATGGTCCCTGCCCGTGGCAGGTGTTGGAGCTGGAGGAGCTTTAAGGTCCATTACAACACAAACCAGTCTATGGGTGTTCCCCACATGGGTGAGCCCTTCCTGTGGAGTCACAGCCCTCAGTGACAGAGCTTCCCCAGAGACTCACGTTAGCAGCTGAGGGATTCAAATCCCGTAAGTCTGACCCAGCTTAGGGTGAAAAAGAGCAGTTTTATTCGGGGTGGGGTGTATTTAGGGGCTCTTTTGCATTGGTGCTGTGTTGTTCTGTGTCCGTTGAAGATCACACCTGCAAGAAGAGCAGTGCTCTGTTTAAAAACAACAGAAGCCTGTGTTTACTTGCTGGGGCTGTCAGCTTTGGCTGTCAGGCAGCTCCTCTGCTGCTCAGCCCCATGGGAGCATTATCTTCGCCTCTCCCTTTGAGCCTCCCCACCGCAGCAGGGTGAGGGAGATAAGGGGTTCAGTGCTGCAGCAGAAGGATGCTCTCTGAACCTCCCTGCCAGCACCAGCTGACATACCCCTTGTAGTTCCCCAGGAAAGGAGTTGCTTCTGTGAACATCTTCCCCTGAAGCACCATCATTAAGCTGCCCTAACAGGAGGGCTTGAGGTCTGATTCCAGCAGAACCTGGTTTAGGATCACCAGTACCAGCTTCAGGTTTCGAGAGTGTGTGAGCGCACAGTGATCTCTCCGCTCTTGAAAAGCTCCAGTAGTGTTTTACACTAAGAAAGAAGCTATTTTAACAACTGCTGATAGGTTGTAATAGGACCAGTTGTACAGAGTGTCAGAGTTGTAGGTGAGCTTAGAAATAAATAGATTGGTTTCATGTTCCTTAGAATGCTCACTGCTTGCAGTCACCAGAGACAGTGCTGTTTCTAACCACCACGTTGGGTAAGCTGGGATGAGTGGGTTTGAACTGTTCCATGTTGTTGATAGAACAACAAAGGGTAGGCAGCTGAAGCAAAACCAAATACCTGTGTTCCTGAAACACTGCTAAACCAGAATTCCTTTCAGTTTTGCCTCCTCTGTATCATTCTTTGCTTGTGAGGGAAATCTTTATCTTCTGTGCAGGACAGAACGTCTTACGTGTTGTTTGTGGTGTTGTCTTTGCAGGTTAAAGAACTTGTTCTTGACAACTGCAGGTCGTACGAAGGCAAAATTGAAGGCCTTACAGATGAGTTTGAAGAGCTGGAATTCTTAAGTACAATCAACGTAGGCTTAACCTCAGTTGCAAACTTACCAAAGTTAAACAAACTTAAGAAGGTAAATACAATCTCCTGTGTCATGTCCCTCCCTCTTTGCACTGTACCACATCTGTAAAGATGTTGCTCATGCGAAAAGTGATGTAGCTGACCACACTGCTTTGTGATCTGTGTTTGCACTAAGAACTCAAGAGGTTTCTGTGCCTTTCAGCTCGAGTTAAGCGACAACAGAATCTCAGGAGGACTGGAAGTGTTGGCAGAAAAGTGTCCGAACCTCACACATCTAAATCTAAGCGGCAACAAAATAAAAGATCTCGGTACAATAGAACCTCTGGTAAGTTGATGGGATACAGGTTGGAATAAACCCCATTTTGTGATGAGTAGAGGCATTATGGGCTTGTAAAGCCCTCAGAAACTTGTGGTGGGGTGTCTTTGGCGCTTATCTGTCAGGCCAGGTTGCTGTGGGCTCAGCCTGCCCCGGGGCTCTCCCTTCGCCCTGCCCTGGGGCTGTGCCGGCAGTGAGCGGCTGCTTCCCTCTAGTGGCTGCCGGGGCTGGGCTCTGCCCATGGGTGATGTGGGAATCACCACGGCTTTCCATGCTGATGTGAGCTGTGGGGCTGTCTCCACATGCTCTGCTTGAGCTTGGTGTGTTCTCCCGAGAGCATTGGGTCTAAAATGCCAGCCCATGTGCCTCCATAGTGGGCTTGCTTGCTGCAGCTGTGCAGAGGTTGCTGCTGGTTTCCATTGCCTCTCCTGCTCACGGTCATTATACTTCTTATTTCAAGTGCTGAGATCAGGTTTGCCAGGTTGCAGTTCATTCTAATTGATGTCAAGTTCCAAAAAGCACCCAAGTGTCCGTTCTGGTGGTGCTGGTTTTGAGTTTGTGGTTTGTGTGCCCTTTGCTGTCTAGAAATGAAGAGGTTTGCTTCATGCTTATTTCCCAAATGCTTCCGTTTAAAATGTCTCAAGGAGCAGTTATCATCTTGGATCTCCTTTCCTGCAGCGGAAGGGGAGAACAGAGCTGTTAAAAGTCATGTAGCAAACAAATGAGAGAAAGGATTGTTGCTGCTCCCGGTTTCAGGCTTATTGTTTTCTTGATGTCACTGTTGCTCTACATGCTAAACTCCAGGAGGGAGATATTTCATAAGATCTGATACAAATTCTCAACTGCTTGTGCTTTTATTGTTAGTACTTTGGAGTGCTGTGGGCAATGCAGGCTGTGTCCTACTCCTATTCAATTTCTTAGAATCCCAGACTGGTTTGGGTTGGAAGGGACCCTACCGCTCATCCAGTTCCAACCCCCTGCCATGGGCAGGGACACCTTCCACTAGAGCAGGTTGCTCCAAGCCCTGTCCAACCCCAGTGATGTTTCTAAACACCAGTCTGCTACTTGTGAGATCCTAAACTTGAGAGAGAGCATTTTCCACTCTCAGGTAGTGAAACAGCACTGGTCAGGCTTTGCATATTTCTGTTCCATGCCAGCTTAGCAGGCAGAACCCCAAATGACCTTTTTGTCATGGGAAGCTCTTGAGCACGTGAGCTCTGGCCGCTGTTGCATTACTTTTTGTAGCCCTGAACTTGAGACTTCTCTTCCTTTGCAGAAGAAGCTAGAAAACCTGAAGAGTCTAGATCTTTTCAATTGCGAGGTAACCAACTTGAACGATTACAGAGAAAACGTGTTCAAGCTCCTCCCGCAACTCACATACCTCGATGGCTACGACCGGGATGACAAAGAGGCACCAGACTCTGACGCAGAGGGCTACGTGGAGGGCTTAGACGACGAGGAGGAAGATGAAGATGGTATGTGAATTGTGCTACTTAGTGTACGTAAGTTAAAAGATCAATATGCTGCCTAGTACATTTTGCTTCCAGCTCTGACTTGTTGGCAAGAAAAGGGTGTTCTCAGCAGCTCCTTCCTGACTGATGTAAAGGAGAAGTACCTCAGTGTCCTCTGAAGGAACGAGGGGAAAGGAGATGGGCAGGGCCTGAAAGAGCTACTTTCTCAGTCTTATCTCTAGTGAAAGATCGGGATGACAAAGAAGCACCGGACTCTGATGCAGAGGGCTACGTGGAGGGCTTAGATGACGAGGAGGAAGATGAAGACGGTATGTGGATTTGTGCTACTCAGTGTATGTAAGTTGAAAGATTGATACGCTGCCTGTGGTATGTTTTGCTTCCACTTCTGACTTGCTGGCAGGAGAAGGGTGTTTTCAGCAGCTCCTTCCAACTGACGGATGTATCTCAGTGTCCTCTGAAGGAACAGGGGGAAGGGAGATGGGCAGGGCGTGAAAGAGCTACTGAGTCTTATTTCTAGGCAATAGAAGAAAGGGCTCAGGAGGAGGGGTAAGACACTGAAAGAGTTCAGGGACCAGTAAACTCCAGGGGATGAGGGCATAAAGCAGAAATGGGTAGGAAAGGATGGTGTGCACACGCTGCAGTTTTCCAGGAACAATACACTCAGGGAAGTGTGAGCAGTTGTGTAGAGCCTGATGGAGAGGGGTAGGGTGGAGAGCCAGACTGGGCATGGGAAAAAGGGCTGAGTCAAGGAATTCAGTGAAAGAGCCAAGGCATTAGTAGGAATCTGGAGCTGCTCTGTGGGGGCAAAATGAGCTACTTGAGATGAGGCAGAAGAGAGAGAGCGTACATATTGCAGTCTGCCTGGGGCAGCTCTGTGAAAGGCACTAACAAAGGAGCAACTCTGTAGTGCTGGAAAACACACGGTGGGCCCCAGTGTGGTGCGGGTGCCACTGCAGCTCCCCACAGACTGCCCTCGGAGGCACCATGTACCGGTCGGATGAGTTTCTGGCTGGGTTTGGGGAATTTGCTAGACTCTTCAAACCCAGCTGCACAGCAAAAGCAGAATAGCTGGACTTGCACTTTCCCCTCGAGTGCTGAGTGTGGGCTCTGGTGAGAGCTGCAGCAGCGCCTGGCAGAGGCTGCCTTCAGCAGGGACAGGCTCTCATCACAGCACAAGTCTGGGCCTGCTTTCAGATGCATGAAAAACCCCCAAAACACCATTCCTGCAGCTTGGAAAACACTTTCTGGTTTGTTGGTTTGGCTTAATCTCTTTCCCCTTGTAAGGAGATTGCAAACCCAGACGATGGATGGTGTGTGACCCCTTTGTGTTGCTCTGGTGGTGTAAAGGCGAGGGCTGTCCCCTGGGGAGGGTTCCCAGTGTATAGTTGGCTGGTAAAGTTCTGCCTCATCCCTGGTGGGAGCAGATGGGCACTTAGAGATGAAGAGCTGTAAGAGTCCCACGGGCTCAGAAGTGCGTGTTAGAGGTGGGAACAGGAGCAGCTGAAGCAGAAGCAGTCCTGAGGTGCCGTCACTTACTGTCAGGGCCCTGAGAGCCCTAAAGCAGCTCAGGCTGTGGGTACAGCTGCCACACTACCCTGTCACTAGGCTAAGGAGGCCCAGAACCACGTTTAGCTCTGTCTAGCAGCTGGAGAGCTGCTTTAATTCTGTACTGCCCTTGAGCAGTGCTTTCAATTTGCTCCCTGTGTCGATAGGAGGTCAGATCTCAGGTGGCAGTGTTGGGGTGGGGGGGGAGGAAAGTAAACTTTAAATGTCTGAGTGGTTCATCTTGTTTGACTATAGAAGAGGAGTATGACGATGACGCTCAGGTAGTAGAAGATGAAGAAGACGAGGAAGAAGAAGAGGAAGGAGAAGAGGAGGACGTGAGCGGAGAAGAGGAGGTAAGGATTTATGCAGTTAATAATGGGTGTGGAATGAGTATGCTCTAACTGGGAATAGTTGAGTAAGAAATGGACCAAGTATTGGAGGCTTTCACTACTTGAAGACTGTTTGCTTTTTGACTCGAGAAGCATGGCTGTGGGGGTGGCTTTGAGGCGTGCCTGTCTATGAGCCAGCTGCCATCTAGTGACCATTGACATGAAATCATCCTGTTTACTGAGGTGATGTCAAAAATACCATCAGGAACATCTGCAGGTCTGGTTTGTGGGGCCTTTGAAGGCTGGGGTTACAGGTGAGAGAGTAGTACATGAATTACTGACCCTGGGCTCTCAGAGCAAGGTTCATTCTTGGGCCTGTACCTTGGGATCCTTCAGGATGCTTAAATTCTTTGTGTGGTCCAGCTTTTGTTTGTAAGGTGTGCTGAGCCGGTCACAGTTTGCTGAGACTTTGCTGTTAGCACAGCCATTGGGATGGGGCTGAAATTTGACTGTAGGTGGTTGTATTACGTGTCCTTCAGCCAAACAGCCTTAGCTACTTGACTGACCCTCTGGAATGGTTGAAAGCCTCTTCCCAAAACCAACAGCAGCTCCACAGGCTCTTGAGATACCTGGTTCTAGCTCTCTCCCTGAGAACAACATGTACCTTCTACAGACCAGTCATCAAACTCAGGACATCAGAACAAAATCTGCAGCATGTATATACTTATAAAACCATTTTCTTGCTGCAGATTTGAAGCTAGAGGTGGCTGTGAGGGTCGCCTGTGGTTTTCTGCACTGGAACATCTGGAAGTGCATGGGAAGGGTCTGCCTTTTGTTTCGTTTCAGGTTAAGATACTTCAAGGACTTTCTCTCTGTTGCAAAATGCTGTTGGATATTGCCAGCTTGGGAAAGGACTTGCACCAAACCCAGCTTTTCTGATCCTCTATTTTTCTTTCCAAATGCAGGAGGATGAAGAAGGCTACAACGACGGGGAGGTAGATGACGATGAAGACGAAGAAGAGCCCGGTATGGCAGCAGTTTCTACCTGAGATGAAATACTGGTTTAGAAAGTTGAATTCCCCTTTTCTGTGCTCCTGCTCTCTGAGAGCCAGGCAGCTGCCCCAGCAGGAGCCTGTTGAACCTGCTCAATTCCCCACCAGCATGAGGGAGCCCTCATCTAACTCCAGTTGTGTTTTGTTTTCTAGATGAAGAACGGGGACAGAAGAGAAAACGAGAACCTGAAGACGAAGGGGATGAAGATGACTAAACTGAATAACCTATTTTGACAATTTCCTATTGTGATTTGACTGTTTCTACCCTGTATTTCCCCTTCCCACACCCCCAACCTTTATTCCCCCCCCCTTTTTTTTCCCCCTTTTTATTTTCTGATTGTAATGTTGCTGTGGGAACGAGAGGGAGCAGCAGACTGGGTGGGCAAGGGAATAAAATACTATTTTTACTGGCACTCCTCCTCCTCTTCATTTGAAACCCTTTTCTTTTTGTCCCTCTCTTAGTCCCGGTAACTGCAATAGTAAGTATAAACCAAGTGGTAATTTGTTTCTTATTATCAGAGTGGATAGTTTGAGATCCTGAAAAGAGGAAAAAAGTAAGTGGAAGATCAGTGGATGAGAACCCCAAATGTACCTGTTTGGAATAGCGTTGGTTCGTTGGGATTTTGCCACCGCTGCCAGTCACTAAATACATGGGAAGCATATTTCTGGGGGATGCTGCAGATTGAGGCCCAGCATCATCCCCCCACAGCAACGGGGGTGAGAATGGCATCTGGATCAAGTGATTTCTTTGTTGCCTGTCCGTCAATGACTGCCATTTTCAGCCAATGCTTTCCCTGCTTTTGTAGGTACCTTTCCTTTTGCTGTTTGTAAATAGTGACCAAATGGTTTTTGTTGGGGTTTGGTAGGGTTGTGTTTTTTTGGGGGGGGAGTGTTGTTCCTTTGGATCTGGTTTGTGGGGTGAATTTGCAATCCCTCCTTTTCCTCCCTGCCCTGTGTGTTGTGTTTCCTTTCTGTTTATTGGGGGGTGTGGGGGGGTTCTTTTTCCTTTTGGCTAGGGTATAGCCAAGACACTGAAAATGGCAGGCATTTAAATATATATATAAATATATATAAAAAGTGTTCCTAATCCCTGAGTTACTAGTGAAATGAATCTGACAATTGTAATAAAACAAAATGTTTCAACCCTTTTCAATAAGGTGTGTACTATTTTGGTCTGTAATATATAACACCTAGTCAATTTGAAGTGATGAGAAACTACTTCCACTTGTGCTATATACTTGGAGACTTTTTACAAACCTAAAGCCAGGAGGCAGTTCAGCATGTAGGGTAGGAGGTTTCTTTTCATACACTCAAGCACGAGATACTAATGCAAAGTTGTATTTTCTTACCTAGTGGAAGTCAGTAAAATGACTGAAAATGCCTAGTGAATGTACAGTTTTACTTTCATATCCCTCTTTAAAATAGCTTTAGAAGTGACTTGTATTTCCTAGTCAATATTTCATCTGTATAAATACATTTGCAACAGTTTTGGTTTCTTTTTCTTTTGGTTGGTTGTTGGTTTTTTTTTTTTCCCAGAAGAGCCAAACTTTTGAGTTTTATGTCTGTTTGTCATTGTTGAATTTCAATAAATCTTTTGATACAAGTTCTCTGTGGCTTATTTGACTAAACCGGGCCACTGGGAAGGATTCACGTACCTTTTAACAAGGCATTTGCAAAACTATTCTGGTAAATTCCCTGCCTGTTTTAGTAGCTTGATGATACGTTTTGCTCCATGAAAACTCCTCTTGGCCATGGTCGGGTGAAGCCAAGGGCGAGGTTGTGGCTTTAATGTAAATAACTCTTGTGCCGTTTTTGGTGCTCAACAGGGGTTTCTGCAGTGTTCCCAGCATGGTTATTGCACTTAACTGTGTTCATTTCTCCTGTTTAATCCTGTCCCTGTTCATCCAGGCCCAGAAGAAAGGACTCTTGATTTCCTTCGGTGCATGAGGTCTGGGTTAGTGTGTCTGGAAGACAAGGGCTGTCTGCTGTGACTTACCACCACTGCAGAGCTGTCTCCATGTTTCCCTCTCTGTGGATGAGCTGTGTGTTAAAGGTGGGCAGCATAGCAAGTAGTGTGTTCTCTGTACTTACATAAGTTTCTATGCTGTGCAAGAGGATCATGTATTTCTTACTGGGGCTCTTGTGTGGTGATAGAACAGGGGGAAAAGGCTTTGAACTGCCAGAGGGGAGACTGAGATTGGATATTGGGAGAAAGTTCCTCCCTGTGAGGGTGCTGAGGCGCTGGCACAGGGTGCCCAGAGAAGCTGTGGCTGCCCCATCCCTGGCAGTGCTCAGGGCCAGGTTGGACACAGGGGCTTGGAGCAAGCTGCTCCAGTGGAAGGGGTCCCTGCCCGTGGCAGGGGTTGGAGCTGGATGAGCTTTAAGGTCCCTTCCAACCCAAACCATTCCAGGGTTCTCTTGCAAAGCAAACAGCAGCCACCAGCCCTGCGTAAGGCAGGGGCAGGGCCAGCAGCTGCCCAGCTACAGCCCAGACAGAGCCCTTGTGTCACTAAACCAGCTTAGCCTAAGATGCAGTCTGGCTTTATCAGTTTTGTGGGAAGTGCAGCTTGAAGATCTGTAGATCTTAGAAGGCATCCGCAGGGACTGGAGCTGGCTTTTCCTGCATGATGAGCCTCTCCACATCCCAGAGACCTATCCATGCATGGGATTTATTGCTTGTGAAGCAGAGTCCTGTTCCCTGTTCAGTTCTGCTGGAGCCCTAATCCACCTGAATGATGAGAGAGGGGGAAGAGGGGAGGCAGGTACCTGATGAACAGCAAGGGTTTGACTCCTTGTGTTGGGAGAGGGGGAAACTGAGTCACTGCTGCTGCTGCAAACAAACAGGAGGCTTGCCCAATGCAGATCATTTCATAGTTATCCCATGTTTTGTAGCGTGCTGAGAAGCAAGGGCTTCTTCCTCTTATCCTGAGTGCTCTGTTGCATACGTAAGCTCTGGCTGAAGGTACTTGGCAACTCGCAGTGATGCTTAGCAACTTCCCAACTCCTGGAAAAAACCCAAGCCCCGGTGTTTTATAACGGTTCAGCAGGAAAACCCAGGTAGGAATAGTGCCAGGAATGAATAATGGGGGTCAGGAGCTCCTTCAGATGCCAGCTTTTGTGTCACTTTGCTCTTTCTGCTCTCCCTTCGCCCTTTAACTGTGCAGTAATTTGAGGAGCCCTGGTTGTGCTGCAGTGTGGGGCTGGTGCAAGCTTGTTCCTGGGGTGCTTTGTTTTGTCTTGCTGTCCTGAACCTGTTCTAAAGCTCAGTGTGCCTCAAATGTCCTACTGGGGCTTTGCCTGTCGATGTGTGCAAGCTGAGACCAAGATGCTGTCAGTCCCAGCTGTTATGTGCCAAGTTGCCATTGCAAATCTATATAGTCTTAATAGCATAATGGCCTGGGTGTTTGCACCTTAGGGATGGCTTCTCCTTGGTTGATTTGATGATGCTTTCTTGTACATGAGCCTATTTGTGGTGCTTAGAGCAAGAGCTGGGATGCTGCTGAAGGTCAGGAGCGCTTCCTAAGCCTAAATCATTGTCAGCATTATCCAGTTACGCAGGAGGAGATGGCTGCTGGCTCTGGTAAGCCAAGGCTGGGCTCTGGAGCAGGTCCCCACCACTAGTTTAAATGGTATATCCTTAAAACTCAGGGATTTGTGATGGGAAAAGCTGTTCCTTCATCCTTTTGCCCAAGGGGGTGCCAGCTGGCTGTTAACAACCGACCATCCATACCTATAGTGGATTCCTTAGTGACAGAGGAGGGTCTTGCCCTGCCCTGCGATGATTTGGTGGATGTTAATCACTGCCCAGGTCCTCTGCAGAACAATCCCTGCTTCAACCAAGAATCTGTGCCAGTTCTCTTTAAAGATACCTGATGTTTCAGTAAGAGTGAATCATCCCATGCTGAAATCTCTCATGGTTACAGACTTCACCCTAGGAACGAGGTGACTGAGGATTTCCAGTCCACATTAAGGGAAGAAATGCCCTGCAGGGTACTTAAAAATGAGGCCTGGTTAGTGATCCAGCTGCATGGAGCTCATCCTGATGCTCAGCTTCCTGGAGGTCACATCGGCCTCTGTTACTGAAGTCAGTGTGCTGATACACCAGAGACAAGGCCCGTGATGCTTTCCCCGGAGAGGCCAGAGCAGGCAGCAGTGCTCTCCCTCCGTGTCCCAGCTTGCTGCTCTCTCCTGCTCATGCAAGTAATTCCTCCCACCTCCATCTCAAAGCTCTCCTCCTCCCTTCCTGCAAGGGAAGCAATGGCCCTGCACAGCCCACAGCTTCTCTTGCAGCAGCCCTCATCCTCCTCACAGGCAGCGGCAGTGCCCTCATTCACTGCACAAATCACAGAGAGGATTCAAATCCCTCCGAGCAGCTCCAGTGCCTACAGGAAAGCTGGAGAGGGGCTTGGGACAAGGGATGTAGGGACAGGCCAAGGGGAATGGCTTGAACCTGCCCGAGGGGAGACTGAGCTGAGCTCTTAGGCAGAAGCTCTTCCCTGTGAGGGTGCTGAGGCGCTGGCACAGGGTGCCCAGAGAAGCTGTGGCTGCCCCATCCCTGGCAGTGCTCAAGGCCAGGTTGGACACAGGGGCTTGGAGCAAGCTGCTCCAGTGGAAGGGGTCGGGGTTGGAATTGGATGAGCTTTAAGGTCCCTTCTAACCCAAACCAATTTGGGATTCTGTGATTCTCACTTGGTTCCAAGAACGTCACCGTGTGACTTCTCTGCTGTCAGCTGCTTGCTGTCACTGCTGATTCTGCTCCTTCTGCCCAGAGCCAACAAAAACCCAGTGAAGAACCTCCTGGCATGACTCGAGCTCTCTCTTTGGAGGTTTTCTTTTGCCATTGCACTTGGCACTTTTCAAACGTGTGCGGAGAAAGGAGGTGGCAGCAGAGCCAGCATCGGGCGGGCGCTTCACCCTGCACATCCTCCCATGAGGACCACCAGCGCTCCCTGCTCCAGCACCACAGCTTTGCTGGAAGTGCTTAAATCAGTGTGGTTTCCCAGTGCTGTTCAGGAAACACCAAGGGCCTGTGACACCATGATTCCCTCCTGAACCCTTGGGGGTGCTGTGGAACATCTGGAGCGCCACATCTGTCCGAAGGTATGTCCAAGCACTGTCATCAGGCAGGTAGGGTGATGGGGCACGTGGCATGTACCCGGCGCTCACCAAGACACAAAGCCTTTTGGAGCTCCATTTCTGCACCAAATTCCCCTTCTTGTGTTTAAAAGCCTCCGGGAGGGGATGGGGAAGCTGATTCTGGAGACCTCGGATCTCTGAGGATCCCCAGATCTTGGGGATTTCGGCCCAAAAGCAGCAGAATTCCTAAAGATGCACTGAATTTGTGAAAATGCTTCATACTTTTTGCATGGAGGGTCCCTGAGTGCGTGCCTGGAGCCAAGTTCTATGAGAGCAAAGCTCCCCTTGGTTTTAAGTGTGCCAGAAAAAGCAGGAACCAGCATCCTCAGCAAACGGGTGGGAAACTCCCATTTTCATTAAAACAACCCCCGTAGGGGCTTCTCCTCTGCATTTGGCCCATTTTAGCCCTGATTTTGTATCTTCACCTGCAGATTCAGGGGTGTTTTCGTCTGTTCAAGACGTTGGGAAGCAGAGAATTAACACTGATCCCAAGCTCGGAAGCGTACGAGGAAGCTGAGCCGCGAACAAAGCAGCGCCCTCCAGGAAGCAGAAAGTAGGTCAGGTTGATAAGGATGAGCACAGAGGGACAGCAGGGACATGGAGGGGAAAAGCAGAGCAGGGGATACATCACCCCGTGGCTGGAAGGAGGAAGGGGCTGTTTGCTGCAGGTAGCTGAGATCTGGAAGCCTTTCTCCTTTCCTTATCCCTGAGGATGCCTGCTGGGATGGGAGGTGATTGCAGTTAGCGGCAGGACAGGAAGGGTGAGACCTCAGCCTGGGTTTGCATGGGGACAGCTTGGGAAGTGCTGCAGATAAAATGGATGTGTGTGGAGTACTGGGGCTGGGTAAGGCTCCTGGAGGAGCTGGTCCTGGGAAGCATGGGGGGCTCTGCAGGAAGAAGGGGAAGGGGGAGAGGCTTGAAAGGAACTAGAATGTCTGCAGGAAAAGCAGGAGGTTACAGACCTCTTGGTCTTATTTAGACCCTTGAAAAGTACCCAGAAGCATCTAAAATACATCAGAACCTCAGGTTCATCGGGGCAAAGGGCAGGGACATAGGGCAGGGGCATAGGGCAGGGGCATAGGGCAGGGCTGGAGCAGGTCTCAGGGCTCCCATGTAGCCCTAAAGCTCCAGGATCAGGGGTGATGCAGCAGGTCCCTGCAGCGATGCAGGATTGCACCCAGCTGATGGGGCCCTGTGCTGTGCTCAAGTCATAAGGTTGCAGCAGTGCAGGGAGTTCAGGGCTAAAATCTGATGTATTTATTGCCCCCAAAACGGGCTTTTCTGCTTTAAATAGCACCGGATGGTGCAGGAGGAAATGCTGGGAAAGCCAGGAGCAAGCGGAATGGTCCAAGAGGAACAGCAGGAACCTGGGCCAGGGTTTTCCCTGGGAGCAGCACCACTGATTTTGGATGAATCCCAAAGGGTTCAGCAGCCCCGTGAGCACGTTTGGGGGCTGTTCCCTGCACTCCAAAGCCCACTCAGAGCCCAGGGGACAGCATCCTACATCCCCTCGCCCACAGCACCCCCAGGTTTGTGCTGCTGTTTGCAGGGCTGGAACTGGCTCATTAATCACCCAAGTGCCATTGGGGTCATTGTGCATTGATTCAGGGGGCTTTGGAGAAACCTTGGCTCTTCTTTTAAAAGAGATGATGTAGTGCAGGAGATCCCAACACACCTCTGTGACTGAGGCCCTAAGACATCAATAACCTCAGCTGAGATGTGGTTCTGCAGTGGTTTCTCCTCCCAGTTATGAGATGGGATAAAACCAGGGAACTCCAGACCCATCACCAAGTGATAACACAGTCCTCAGTGCCTGAATAAAAGGGGAAATAAAGCTTAAAGCTCTATTTCTGCCTGAGCAGCCCTCGTGCTGCCTTCTTGCTTGCTCTCGCAGCAGAACCACCTCAGATTTAGAGCCAGGCTATGCATAAGGGGGGTTATAAGAAAGATGAGGACAGATTTCTTAGGTAGGACCTGCAGGGACAGGCCAAGGGGAATGGCTTGAACCTGCCCGAGGGGAGACTGAGCTGAGCTCTTAGGCAGAAGCTCTTCCCTGTGAGGGTGCTGAGGCACTGGCACAGGGTGCCCAGAGAAGCTGTGGCTGCCCCATCCCTGGCAGTGTTCAAGGCCAGGTTGGACACAGGGGCTTGGAGCAAGCTGCTCCAGTGGAAGGGGTCCCTGCCCGTGGCAGCACCTCCTCTGCACAATCAGTGCCTGTGCTCCTTGTGCCTCACCCCTAACTCCTGTGCAGCCCACAGCATCACCCCAAGCATCCAGCCACCATCAATCCATGCTGCTGGGACCTCAGAGCCCAGGGGAGTTGCTGCAGCAGAAGCAGAATCCACCTCTGTGCGTACCCAAAAGCGCTCTTTTAGGTCCCACCACCCTCTGTCGGGTGGGAGCCAGCCCTTGGCAAGGAAACAAATGAGCAGGCAAGGGTTTGGTATCTTGAAAACATTTTATTTCATCACTATTCCGTGGTAGCATAAATAATAGGCAATGACAGCACATGTAAAGAGGGGGGGAGCAGCGGGTGCGGGCACAGGGTGAATGAACAGGGAGGAGAATCCATCGCACTGGTGGTGCTGGGCAGTTCAGCAGCTTGGTTTACTGAAAATATATATATATATATATATGTGTAAACCAGCAGTATTTGGTGTCATTCCTGTGCTCACCCACAATACACTGATTGTACAGGCGTGCTGAACCCACCACACGTGGCTCCCCACCACTGCGTCCATCCCTTGGGTACCATCACCCTCGGGGTGAGCTGGGTGACATCCGTCCCCCTCCCCATGGCACTGGCAGTGGACAGGAGGATGATGAGTCCCTCTTTGCAGAGACAAAGGGAGCAAACCCCTCTCTGTTTGGGAACCCAGCCCCTCGGGGGGGTTAAGGACACAGTGCATGTGCATGGATGCACGCACACATGCGGAGCGACCCCGTTCCGCAGGCTGTGACACTCACCGGCTGTGCCGGAGCTGTTCCACAGCCACTGCCATGGGAAGGGTCCCCACATCCCACCCTGTGTTTGTGACCGAAGCCCTTCCCACCCCTGGTCCAGTTCTGTGCCCGCCCTCCCATCTTTGCATAGGAAACACACGAACAGCAACGAAGCTTCGCGCTCGCCCCGTGCCGGCTCATCCCGACGGAGGGGATGCGGTTCCACTACTTACTCCAAGCTCATGGCCCGGGGGCTTGTGGGGACCCCCTGGCTGCCTCTCATGCAGTAGCTCTCGGTTAAAGCAGTTTTAGTGCTAGACGGGACGAGGAGGACGTTATTTCCAGTTAGCTTTGCGGGCTCTGGGCAGGTCACTTGGTGGTGGCTCCTGTGGTGTGTGAGTGGGGACAGGGAGAGTAAAGAGCGAGTATAAACAGAGAGAGTTCCTTTAGAAAAGAGCCCTGCAGGTTAATTGTTCTTGGGGTTGTTCCGCAGGTTCTTGAGGGTCAGGTGGAGCTGCCGGACCTGGATGTCCTTCTGTGAGAGCTCCTCCTTCAGCCGCCGGATCTCGTCCTGCTGCCGGAAGAACATCCGGAGGAGCTGGAAGGGAATGGATGGAGCTGGAGGGACCGGCCCTGGGGCTTCACCCTCTTGACAGCCCCCCCTGGAGCTGCTTCACAACTCAGCTCCGTCTGCAATACAGCTTGATCTGCTGCTCGCTCAGCTTCAATGAGCATCGGGATACCCCACACATGCAATGTGCCAACTCAGCTCCAGCCAAACAGATTCCATTCGGGACTCAATGCTTCTGCAGCGCCTCCATATGTTGTGCCCAGAGGGTTTTAAGTAAAAAAGAACTCATTTGGGAGCTGAACGCCGCTCCTTTGTGTGCTCTGTGGTGAACGTGAAGCTGGAGGCTTCAAGCCACAAGGAAACACAGTGCCCAGGTGCTGTTTGGGACCTGCAGAGCAGTGGCTGTTCCCATCCCCATCCCCATCCCACGCTGCCTTACCTCATTCTCCGTCCGTGGTGGCACGTTCTCCAGCAGGTCTATGCCATTCACAAGGACGCTCCTCTTCGCCTTCACCGGTGCCTTAAAGACGATTCCGGATGTCTTCTTGTAGCCCTCCTTCAGCGATATCAGGATGGGATCTGTGTGGAGCAGAGAGTGGGGTGCAGGAGGTCAGGGGGGGCCATGGTCCCATCCCGCATCCCTTGTCACCCCCCCCAGGACAGCATCCATGGCTTTACCTCGGTTGACCCCGCTGAGCCATTCATCTGGAGTGAGGGCTGGCTCCGTCCCCGGGGTCATGGGGTAGATGTCCTCTTGGTATGTCTCTGACTGCAGACAGGGGGATAGAAAAGCCACCTCCTTTGTGACTGCTCAGCCTGCCCTGCACATCCTACTGTGCTGCACGTGGTTGTGCTTAACCCTCTCCATTACCAGGGCAGCGGGAGGTGATGGACTGGGGTTTGCATCACTAACTTAGATGAGGAATGCCAGCAAGTCTGGGATGGCAAACACCAAACCCAGCTCCAGTGCTGGGACCAAACCCTGCTCCAGCTCCAAGATACTTCACCAGTAGCCTCACATGAGACAATTCCTAAAATCATTCCTATTGAGCCTAAAGTAACCCTGCTTGGGAATCCCATCATAACCGCAGCCATTGAAGCAGCACAATGGGATCATCCCCATCCCACCCAGCTTGCTCCAGGCCCCCCAGAGGACTCACCCTCCTCGGCACGATCATGGAGATGGGCTCGATGAGCCCCTTGAGCGTGACGAGCTTGTAGAACCGGAAGACCTCGCAGGCCGACACGTCCAGCCCGTACTTGGGCATCACTCCTGTGAGGAGGCACAGGCATAACCAGGGGTGCTGCACCCGGCTGGGCCCCATCCGCCTCCCCAGCACCGAGCACCCCAAACACCCATCTCCAGGTCTCCAATGAATCAATCCCTGCTGTCATCACATTGAGGACATGGGGCACAGACCTTGGTCACCCCAGGGACGTTGGGAAAGGGATGAGCAGCTTTCATTCAGCACAGAGCACCTTTTGTCAGCTGCCTCTTGCACATTGAGGACCAGCAGCTCCATCCTTACCCAGTCCTTTCTGCGGGGCCGGGGAGCGGAACTCCATGAGATAACTCAGGTAGGGCTTTTCCGAGCCGATCTCGTAATAGCGAATGTTCCCATCACCCTGGAGCAGGGAAGAGGGATGGTTTGCAGCACATGAGATTGAGTAAAGCCCATGATAACACCCCCCATCCTTAGGGAAATACAAGCTGGGGATGCTGCAGGCCTACATCACCCAGAGGGATGCATCGCCACCCATTCAACAGTGGTGGGCACCTCTCCAAACTAGGCTTTAGTGGCCAAAGAGCTGCATAACGCTTTGCTGGGGGCTCAGCACAGCCCTGCTCCATGGAGGGTTCCTTTTGCCTCCCCAGGAGGTGCCACAGCGATGGGATGGGATGCGCAGCCCGTACCTTGCCAGCCAAGTACAGCATGTGAGTGTCAGCATCATAGAACGGGAAGAGGAGCCCCGAGAGCCCGTCGATCTCCTCCTCTATCAAGGGCATGGTCAGGTCTTCCTGCAGCAGAGGTAAAAGCCCTTGATTGAGCAGCCATGACCCAGGGCTGGGGCTGGGGCTGGGGCTGGGGGGTCCCGGCACCCACCTGGTCCCAGAGCGCGATCTGCCGCGTGTTCCAGCGCGACACCCCCGTGGTGAGCAGCCGCTTGGTGCTGCCCAGGAACACCACCCGGTTCACGCGGTGGTTCTTGCAGCTCGCCTCCTGCAGCAGGGTTGGGGTGGGAGCAAGGCATGGCTTGGGTTGGAAGGGACCTTAAAGCTCATCCAGCTCCAACCCCTGCTGCCCAAAGGGCAGGGACTCCTTCCACTGGAGCAGCTTGCTCCAAGCCCCTGTGTCCAACCTGGCCTTGAGCACTGCCAGGGATGGGGCAGCCACAGCTTCTCTGGGCACCCTGTGCCAGCGCCTCAGCACCCTCACAGGGAAGAGCTTCTGCCTAAGAGCTCAGCTCAGTCTCCCCTCGGGCAGGTTCAAGCCATTCCCCTTGCCCTGTCCCTACATCCCTTGTCCCAAGCCCCTCTCCAGGTTTCCTGTTGGCCCCTTCAGGCACTTTCTGTGCCACCATCCCCTGATTTCTACTACTCTGCACCAACCCTAAATCAAATAAAACCTCCCAGCTCCTACGCTTGGGATGGGACCATCCCCTCCCCACAGCAGAGTTACCTACGGACCCTGACCCATCCAAACATCCCATCACGAGTACAGGTATTTGAACCCATTTCAGTGTGATTCCTCCCCTGCATCCCGTTTCCATCCCCTGCCTCTCACATCACCCACCTGCAGGACCCTGCCGGAGCGTGGCTCCACCACCCGCAGCTTCTTGTCCTTGCAGGTGGTGGCCAGGAGGCTGCCGTCTGTATTGAAGGACATGCAGAGGATGACGTCCTTGTGGCAGTCGATCATCTTCACCGGCTCCCCTACATCCAGGTTCCAGATGAGGACCTGTGCGAAGCAGGGACGTTATCCTTGTGTCTCCGCTCCTGCTACCTCCTGTTGTGGCTGGAACTGCTCCATCGTCACCCACAGAGCCCCTTCCCCTCCATCCAGGGCTGCCCTGAAGCTGCTGCTTGTGGATCATGGGATCCAGAGACCTCAGAGCAGCTCCAGTGCCTAAAGGGGCTGCAGGAAAGCTGGAGAGGGGCTTGGGACAAGGGCCTGTATGGGCAGGCCAAGGGAGTCTTTGCTCTTATGATGGGGTACAAGAGGGCTGCAGACACTGGGTCTTTTATTCCAGTGCGCAGAATCCTGCTGCCTCCCATGCCCCAAGCAGGGAAATCCTTTGCAAGGGCAGCCCCAGGCAGCAGGAATGGGGCTGGCCAGGACTCACCTTATAGTCATAGCCAGCGCTGAAGAGGATGTTGTTGGTGGTTGGGTGCCACTCCACAAGGCCAACGCGCCGGCTGTGCCCGTACAGCTCCAGGACAGCCTCTGTCATGTTCCTCTTCAGGCCGCCCTCGGGGATCTCCCAGATCCGCACCTACAGGGTAGGATGGGATGGGATTGGGATGGGTCAGGCACCGGGAGGGGTTTGGGAGCCCCAGGATGACCCTGACACCCCCCCAAAGGAGCTCTAAGCTGCTGCATCCCTGCAGTGCCTCAGTACCAGCAGCCTCATCCTGCACCCTAATGGGTGTCCTGAGGTTGATCTGGTCTCCCACAGGGGGGAGAGCTCAGGGAGGGTGATAATTGTTCCACAAGGACAAATATCCCATGGGAGAGCATCAGGAGAGGACAGATGCCATTATCCAAACCAGTCTGAATGGGTACAGATTTGATAGTGAGGGGATAACAGGCATGATGACAGGAAGGGTTTCAAGCAGAGCAATAACCCAGATGGCCCATGGGAGAGGGTAAAGCCATAGTGATGCCCCAGGGGTGAGGCTGCACAGGTCCTCTCCATGCAGGGCAGTATGGAGGGAAGCAGGAGTCTGGAGCAGGATGGGTTGGCAGCATCACTGTGCTCCCCCTGCAGTGGTGTCCCCAGCCTGGGACCAACAGTGACCAAGAGCATCCAAATGCTCTGTTTCCTGCAGCTCGGACTCCATGGGGGCCTGAGCATCCTCCCCTTGATACTGTTGGCCTGAAGCTCCTTACACCTCCTGGAAGGGAGAAGGGAAAGCCCAAAGGTGCAGAACCTGCCCATTAGCAGCACCATGGGATGGGTTCGCACCAGGAGCCATGAGCCCCATTGAGGGGACACCCCCCACCATAGGACAGGGGGGGAATTAACTTCATTTCCCAGGTTTAATGATCCTAGTGAAGGCTTCCCAGTATTCTCCCTCCCTCCCAGCACTTCCTATTCCCCAGCGACTGAATCTAAAGGTTATGACTCAAGCTGGGAGACAGCTCACCATGATTCATGGCCATGATCTGAATCTCTTTTCCCCACTCAATATCCTCCTTGACAAGCTTTCAGCTAATAATAAATGCCAATATACTGAGCTGCAGGAGAGGGTGAGCCATCAGGAGGTAATGCAGTGAAATGCTAAGCATCAGGAGAGGCAGATTTGTAACTGGTTAAGAACTGGATCACCCCAAACCCTGTCTTCTGCCATGCAGGATGGGCAGTGCTGTCTGATCTCTGTTGTACAAAGGCTTTCTTTGTGATGCAGCCTTTGGGATGGACTTGGGTCCAGAAAACAGAGGATGCAAATAACTAACAGCTATATAAAGATGATCTGATTCATCATCCCCCAGCCTTCTGCTCCCATCACTTGATGGATCAGCCCCTGCGGTCCATGAGAGCAAGAGGGATCAATACCAGCATTGCTGTTGGGCTTGGGGAAAATGAAAAGCCCTCGTTGTGCACAGCTCTATGGCTTATTTGCATGGGGGACATAGGAAGAGCAGCGCTGGGATGAGAAGTGATGCTGGGGACAAGCAAAGGAGCTGCCCCTGCACCATGACTGCGCCTATGGCTCTGCAGTGATCTCTTTTCCCCTCTGCTCCAGAGGTGGTTGATCCATCCCCTACCCGCAGTGCCTAAGCTGGGTATATTAAAGGCAGGAGGTGCATGGGGCACAGAGCTCACCGAGGTGTCTTCGGAGCAGGATGCGATGATGTTCTCAATGAAGGGATTCCACTTGATGTCCAGCACATTGCCCTGGTGGCCACAGACTTTGGGGTAGTTCGGTTCGATCCGGCCTGTCTGTAAAAAGAGGACAAAGAAGTGACCAATTTGGTCTTTTCAAGGCTGGAGCCTCAGGGGAGCGAGGTCCCCAGCACATCCCCGGATGGGGCTTTTGGCTGGAGGAGACACCCAGCCAAGCCAGGCATTGGTTTTCCCCTGTGAATATTCCATCTGAAACCACAGGCAAAGGGGCTGGAAGGGGCTCGAGAGGCTCTAAACCAACCCTCAGGTCTCCAGGTGGATCAACCATTGGGCCATGCGTGAAGCAGTTGGTACTTTCATCCCAAACTATGGAAGCAGTGTTGAGCAAGGTGTGTGCACTCCGCAGGCCAAATCCTGAGGGACTTTGGGATCAACATTTAATGATGCCAATCACCCAACCATGACCCCACTTGATGGGATCCTTCCACACAGATGGACATCCTTAGGGATGATCCAGTCCTGACGTCCCGGCAGAGCTCCATAGCAGGGGACAGTGCTCAGCCTCCCATCAAGGCCCCCATCCCCAGTGGGTTGCAGGGACCCTGCAGGGTCACCCCATCACCTTTCCTTCCCCTGTGCTGGCTCTGTGCCGCAGTGGGAGGTGCTGGCATGCCTGGAACGTGCAGGATAAAGTAGGTCAGCCTGGTAGAGCCACTAAATATTTGATGGCCCTTCCAGCACTGACCTCCTCCCGCATCGAGCTCCTGCATCCGCTTAACACGATCAGAGCCGTGCTGCGGGTACCACGCTGCACCTTTACCACCCACAGCAAAGGGCAGTGGGCAGGAGGGCCCCAAGCAGCCAGATGAGACCCAGGGGCTCCCCCTGCACTGTTGCTGATGGGGAGGTTAATTTGGATGAATCAGCTCCCAGGGAGATGGGGCTGCTAATCGCTGCAGCACTGCATGGAATCACAGAAGGGGTTGGGTTGGAAGGGACCTTAAAGCGCATCCAGTTCCAGCCCCCTGCAATGAGCAGGGATGCCTTCATCCAGATCAGGTTGCCCAGAACCACATCCAGCCTGGTTTGAATGTCTCCAGGGATGGGGCATCCACCAAATGCATGGTTGGTGGTGAACTCAAAGCAGTGAGCAACGCAGGGCCAGAGGAGGGATGGAGATGCAGAAAACCATCACTCTGGGTGCTGAGAATTACAGGCAAACACAACCCTCCCCACGCCTACTTCATTGATTTAAAAGCACTTTCTGTAAGCTTTATTATTAGAGCAAAAAGCCAGTTCTTGGTTAAATTGCTGCAACATCTCTAAGTCATCCCTTGGACACAACCCACATATATAAGATAAGAACTAGGCTGGCCTTAAAACACCGGGGACTCAGTTATATGGGTGGTTTGTGATCGAGTTAAAGGGATAAAAATAGCTGCCTTCAGGACATGGCCAAAGGGACACCTCCAGCTCCATCACTGGTGGGGTACCAGGCTCATTGCTCCCCTCTGCCCCTGGATGCATAGAACCATGGAGTGGTTATGTCCCCACATAACACAAATCAAGTGCTCCTCATTGCTCCAGCTAAGGGAGGGCTTTGAGGGGCTGAAGTTCCTGCAAGATCTGCTCCTTCAGGCCCATGCTATGGGTTACATCGGAGCCGCTGGAGCCTGGCACGTTCTCACTGGAGGGATGGAATCTGGGTCACCAAGCTTCTCCTGGGCAGGGATCAGGGATCCAGCGATTAGGATTCACCGCGGCTTAAAGCACAGCTGCTGGCAAGGTCCTTCTAAGAGTGGTTAAATGGGAAACTGCAGCATGAATCCCTTATTCCCATGGGGTTTCCTTCTTCTTTCTTTTACTTGGCTCCTTGTCCTCTTCCATTTGCCCTGGGCTCGGGCATAACCCACCCCTGCTCTTGCACCATCCCTTGCTGCAGCATCTCCTGCATCCTCACTGCATTCAACTTAATTTTAACCAAAACCTCTTGATTTCTTGGTCAGAAACCCTCCCTTGTAACCAAAGCGTGTTTCGTCCTCTTGAAAGCCTAATGAATTTTGACATTCCCATCAAATCTACTGGGCAAAGGGAATCAGTCGACTGGTTGCTTGGAATTAAAGTGATTGTGCATTAACTTATGCTGTTAAAAGGTCTGTCCGCCTGGAATTTACCAGCTGCTCCATGAATTCCTGCTCCAGACAGCGAGTTAATAATGGCATCCTTAATGCAAATAGGAAAATAAGGGGAAAGCTGGATAATTGGAGCCGTTTGGGGAAGGGATGTCTGCTGGTGTGCTTAATGTAATAACCGATCAAGCTGTGCTTTGCATCCCATTAATTCACAGGAGGGCTGCTGGAGGCAGAGCTGCGATGGTGCTGCATGGGAATGCTGGGGTTAGGTATTGAGGTGTTCTCAGTGAAAAGCATCATTTTCCTAACTCTTCCCCTCCATCCCTTTTGGAAAACTCAGTTTAGTGGAAAACTGACTTTTGGGGGGATGAAATCTGCTTTTTAGGCTCTGCATTGGGGAGGCTTCATTTGTATTTCAATGAAGGGCTTGTCTTCAATGATTTCCTTTGTGTTAAAGCCCATGTACTCTCAGTGCTTGGTCAGGCCATGCCCCTCCTTGGATCTCGCTTTTGCAGGGGGTCACTGGCTCCCAGCATGGAGATCTATGTCCTGGGGGATCCTGGAGGTGCTGGGGGGCATTGCCCCACTTCTGGTGTGACAGCATCTTCCCAAGGGGCTGTCTCTGCCTCTGAGTAAAAGGAAGCATTAAAATCCAATGGTGATGTGTGCTTTAATGTATTGCCCTTCCCATGGGATGCTCCAGGGTTTGCAGTGCCAATGGTGGAATCCAGGCAAAGAAAAGCCTCCTGGAGGGGATGAGGAGCTGGGGGCACTGAAGGGACCATCCCTCTGGCCATAGCATCATCCAGAGGCACCGGCGCCAGAGGCTTGGGTCACCCTGGCAGAGCTGTCACAAAGTCACTTGGTTTTACCTCTAGAATCCCAAACTGATTTAAAATAGAGCCAATAAGAGCCAAATCTGGGGCTTTAACCAGGAAAATGCCCCTTTAGCTGCTCGATAGTGTCAGAAATGTGCACTTCGATCACTGCTGCCCATCTGGGGTGAAGCTGCCAGGTCAATGCAGGGAATAAAGCACATTAGTAGCTGACAGGAGGCAGGTTGGGGACCAGGGCTGAGGGTGGCAGCTCAGATCCGAGCCAGGCTGTTTGCTGATGGGTTCAGGCTCTCTGAGCGAGCCAAAGTGATGCTGTCGGTGGCTGGAGGAGGAGGTGGGAGCAGGATCCGGGCTCTTCATCCATCCCTGCCCTGAAACTGGCCCTGATGCAGGTTCCATCACACCAACAGGTAACAGCCCCCGAAGGGAAGGGGGGGGACCTGGTGTAACCTGCCCTAACTAGAAGGAGGCTCCTGAGTTAGGAATGAGCCTTGTGTTCAGTGCCCATCACAGAGCGGCTGATGGGGATGCGATCCCGTGTCCCATGCAAGGGAATGAATGAGAGTGGGACCTGCTCTAGTGGAAGGTGTCCCTGCCCATGGCAGAGGGCTGGAACTGGATGAGCTTTAAGTTCCCTTCAACCCAAACAATTCCAGGATTCCATGTATTTCCTAAACCCGGCTTTGCACCAGCTTCCCTGGAAATCCAAACCCAGAACATTCCCCAGCCCTTCCATTTCCTACCTCAAACCAGTTGTGCATGGAACACTTGACAGGAACAGCAGTGTCCATGCAGCATTGATGCCAGCTCCTCCTGGCTGGGGAGCATCCCCAAGGAAGGAGCCCGAGGTCACCCTTCCCCACCCAGCAGCTTCCCCTGAATGCTCCCTAATCCCTTATTAGCTTGTAGAGGGATCAGGGAAGCGCTGCCTGAGCCGTAGGGGATTTAGAGGGTTTCCCAGGAAATCCTTGAGCACACACGAGTCTCCAGTGGCTGAGATTAAGAGTAAATACATTTAGTGCTGTGTTTTTAAAGGCCTCTCCTATTTGAGAGCCAAAGGGGAGGAGGTTACACCGATTCCCCTGACCTGGGGCAGATCCCTGGATGGTTTCGGTACATGGGAAGCTCGCCGCAGGTTAACTCCTCATTAGGAACCAAGCCAAATGGAACCAGCAAAAGCAACAGGGAAATGGGACAAACCCTTGGCAAGGACCCAGAAGACCCATTGCCATGGAGCGGGGCTGCTTCAGCATCGCCCCATGGAGTAGCAGGGCCCAGCCCCTGGGATGGGGGAGCAAGCAGAGGGCTCCGGGCCCATCTGGGCATCACATCTGCACCACAGATGTTGAAGCAAAGAGTGTGAGAGCCCGAATGCAAGGGAGGTGTTGCACCAAGAGGCAGCGTTTGCTGCCCCCAGCACTCGTGCAGTTGCACACAGAATTCCCCAAGGGAATTCCCACTTGCAGGTGGAAGGATGCTGCTATTGCTCCAACGATTGAATAGAGATGCCCCAAGCCTTTCTCCACCTTCACTGCTATTCCCTTGCATCCTCCCTTATGCCAGGATGCTCATCCAGCCTCCAGCAGTGCAAACCACCAGATGGGAGCCATTCATGGCCAGCCAAGACTGAGGAGATTGGTCAATCCCAGTGGGATCATCCCCTGGGAGGGATGGGACACACAGCTGACCTGCCTGGAAGCTGCTCCAGGGATTCGCAGTCCTATCAATCCACTCAGAAACCCAACCCCAAAGAAATCCATGCATGGAATAAACAACATTGTCCATGGAAACACCAATTCCAGGCATGGGAAAGGTCTGAGAGGGCTTTTGGGTCCTGCAGGGAGTAACCTGGTTGTTGTGGACACGCTGCCAAGCTTCCTGACTGCTCCTGTGGGTGGGAACAGGGAGTAAAGCACGAAGCCAAGAAGGAAACTGGGAAAGCTCAGCTCAGGCTCTGGCACCTGAGAGAAGCAGAGATTCCACCTCCAGGAGAGCAACACCAGCAGTGAGAGCAGCCTGGAGCACCTGGGAGATGCCAGCAGGGAAGGGGATGGGATGTGCCCTGTGCATCCTCCAGTACTGTATCCCTTACAACCACTCCTGGCCATCCTCATCCTCCACACCTTGAGCAAACAGCATCAGCCCCCGTGCCTCAGTTTCCCCAAGTGATGCTATCCCTGTCTCAGGGTTGCTTTGGGATAAACAGCCCCAGATTTGCCATGTTAATCACCATAAAATAATCACATCCACGTATAAGCCTCATTACCCTTTTTGTTATCCACTTAAGCCGTGGAAATCATAAAGCAGGGAAAGAAATCACCGCTGCTTCATGCTATTCTGGGGGAGAAGGAGGTTTTATCTCCGTTCCTCCTTTTGCATGGCTAGAAATGGGGTTCAACGGAACAGATGCGCCCCATCTCACCCTCATTGCCTGTGCGGCATCCCTGCTGCCCTGGGAACAAAGCGGCGCTTTATCCCGGCGAGGACAGGCTCTAACCGGCAGAGGGGGCCGGCAATTGCCGCTTGGGCTGCGCTCCATGGGCCCGACCCAAGGCTTTGCCGCAAATAGGGCGGCATCAATGGGGACAGGATCCCTATTTCCCCTCCCAAGCTCCTGCTGGTCCAAGGACCCCGTTTTCAATCTGATCACCAGCGTTGAAACCTCGAATTGATGCTTTTTGACTGATCCAGGTGCTTCCACCCAGACGAGTCCCAGCTCTGGGCTTCCCACAGCTGCTCTCCTGTTGTCTCCTTGATAAAGGCAAGGACATGGGATAACGGAGCAGCGCTGCTGATGTGTCAGTTCTTTCTGTAAGCCCCAGGCCTCTTTGTTTTATGGCCAGCTCCAGGTTAAAGCAGGAGCCTCCTGCAGACTACGAGGGAAGTTCACAGGGAAAAATAGGTAGCACAGAGCACAGGAGGCTCCTGTGTCCTCAGTTTAAAGATAGAAAACCTCCAAGGACATGAGAATTAGTTCATTGTATAGAGAAACAGAGAGAAACCTGCTGGTGCTCTGAAGCGCAGCAGAAGCAATGAGAGCAGACGTGTGATGAGTGCGTCTGTTCTCTGCCCAGCCTTGGCACAGAGCTGTCCCTATGGACGGGACGTGCACAGGGCTCCCATGGGTGATGCTGGGAGCACACAGGCAGAGCAGATGCCACCAGGAGCCTGAGCCAAGCCAGAGCCAGGGCAGGATGCCTGGAGCACACATCCTGCTCCTCCTGCTCGCCAGCTGCTGGCCTGGGGGTGTTCATTGAATCCCAGCCTGGTTTGGGTTGGAAGGGACCTCAAACCCCACCCAGCTCCAACCCCTGCAATGGACAGGGACCCCTTCCACTGGAGCAGCTTGCTCCAAGCCCCTGTGTCCAACCTGGCCTTGAGCACTGCCAGGGATGGGGCAGCCACAGCTTCTCTGGGCACCCTGTGCCAGCGCCTCAGCACCCTCACAGGGAAGAGCTTCTGCCTAAGAGCTCAGCTCAGTCTCCCCTCGGGCAGGTTCAAGCCATTCCCCTTGGCCTGTCCCTACAGGCTCTTGTCCCCAGCCCCTCTCCAGGTTCCCTGCAGCCCCTTTAGGCACTGGAGCTGCATTAAGGTCTCCCCTTCAGGAGCCTTCTCTTCTCCAGGCTGACCCAGCCCAGCTCTCTCAGCCTGGCTCCAGAGCAGAGCTGCTCCAGCCCTCACAGCACCTCCATGGCCCCCTCTGGACTCACTCCAGCAGCTCCACGTCCCTCTGGTGCTGTTGAACGCAGAGCTGCAGGTCTGGGACCCTTGGGATCAGCCATGGGGCTGTCACCTCCATGAGCAGCCTTGTACCAGCTCCTCTGGCTGCAGTGATGGGCATCAGTGTCCCACGCACACAGTGGGGCTCAGCCCATAGCACACACCATAGCACAGCCCCACAAACAGCTCCCAACCAACCCCATCTGTGATGTGAACAGCCTTGGAGTTCAGCTTCCTATGGGTAAACAGAGACTCCCCTTTCCTGCTCCGGCTTCCTCCAGGCACGCAGGCAGATAACATTGTCTGGCTGTGCAAAACAAGCTCCCTTCATCCCCAGAAGACAGAAACAAACCCCTCCTGCAGCAGGGCAGGTGGTGCCAAGCACCCTTCCCCTGCCTAAAGGAAGCCCTGCAGCACCCAGAGCAAGCTGCATTGCAGCCCACTCCCCTTAAAGCAGCTCCCAGCATCCTTCCACACCCCAACACCATTGAAATCAAGCTCATTCAATCACACACAGCTGAAACGGATCCACAGATGGAGGGAGCTTCCTTCTCCCTGGCTGTTTTGGCCAACCCCAGGTAAGGCAAAGCCGGTGCTGCCTGAGGCACCTATGGGAACGCTTCCTTTCTCCCAAGAAAAGCCTGGGAATGCCATAAAATGCACCCTGGAGTGTTTGGAAGGCCAGAAGGAGGTGAAGGATCACCCATGGGGCTTTGTGCTGTCAATGGGGATGCTGCATTTCAGTGTTGGCACTAAGGGATGTGTGAGATTGGGCTTTGCTCAGCCTCTTGCTGACTCACAACACAGGGATGTTTCTCCCTGCAGCTGAATTTGGGACCAAATCCTTCTGCTGCTTCCCTTTGGGAAGCAAATCCTCTTCTTCCCGAGCCTGAGCACGAGCTCTCCTTCGCCCCCTCTCCAGGGATATCTATAGCACAAAACCCTTGCAGGGATGGGGAGAAGCTGGATCCCAATGGAACCTGGGGTCGTGCACCGCATGGACAGGCTCGGGAGGGATGGGGAACACAGAGCAGCCGCGCTCCATCTCTCCAACCTCCTCAGGTCACGGAAGGGGATGCGCATCCCTGCGTGGCTATGGGGGTCCATGAGGAACCAGCCTCTGCTCTGCAGGCAGAGGAGCATATGGCCCAGCGTATGCAAATGCTTTGTCACTTGAAGCAGAAAGCAGAGGGGTTTCTGGTGAGCGTTTCTGAGCAGAACAGAGGGCAGACGTGGGGAGGGGGCGCGAGGAAGGGATGGCAGCAAATCAAAGCCGGCGCGGAGCTGCAGTATCTAGGTTACCTTCATTATGTGCAGCTAAATATGGATGCCAATTAATTAGAGGGCTGCTGATTTCCAAAGAAAATCAGTTTACTCTTAATGAGCTAATCAGAACCTATTTAAATATCAAATAAATAATGACATGATTAGTCTGCACAAAGGCGTGTGCAGGCCCTTGACACGGGCTGCTCCGGCTGGGATTTGGTGCGCTAGTGCCAGGGTTTCCACAGAGATCCCTTGGGAACAGGATGCAAACAGCATCGTGTTCCCTCTGCTCTGATCCCATCGGGACAGGGCTGTGTTTGATAGGGTAAAAAGGGGATTTGCTGGCAACACCCAGTGATTAGCTGAGGATTTAAGGGCAGGAGCAAGCGGTGCGTGGATGGGCATCCTCCTGGTCCTGCTCCATGGTGTGAGGCTCCGGGTGCTCAGACAGAGCTCCTGGTATTGTGAATGTTAATAGGAGCCAAGCTGTGCTCTGCAATTAAAACTCTGATTATAATTTCTCCCATCTGTGGCTGATTCTACTCCAGGAATCAAGGAGGGATTCGGAAGGGATGTGAGCATTACATGGGGAACGCATGTGGTGTGTCTTCAGGTCACATACAGTGACTGCATCCTTAAGGGGAGTGAGTGCAGCTCCTCCAGTGTTAAACTGCTCCTAAGAATGAGTGTCCCTCATTCACTTCCCCTCCTGCAGCCTGTGGATCCCCCAGGACATGGCATGGGATGAAGATGTTGGCTTGGAGCTGTTGGTCTGGAACACCGGTGGGACAGCAGCAGCAGCATCAGTGTAACGCTGGTACCCAACGGCAGCGCTCAAGTTGTGTGAGCAGATCAAAGCCAAGGTGATGCTTATTTCATGCTCAAGGTCGCTGCTGCCTGCCTGCATCTGCCAGGAGACCAAACGTGGTCCCATGGGGCAGCTCCTGAAGCAGCAGCTGAGTGTACAGGAGTTTAAAGCTGCAGGAGCAAGAGATGTGTGGATGCACAGGGAGCTGGGGAAGCAAATACACGAGGAAGGGAGTAAGGATGTGCGCTGCAGGCAGGGCGTAGAGCAGACTGCAAACAGGGCTACATGATGCCTCTGTACAAAGTCCTTTGGATGGGTTCAGCTACAAACTGAACCCCGAGGCCCTCTGCACAGCACATAGCTCCTGGGCACTGGTGATGGACCCTGACTATAGATCTTGTGTGAGGTGGCATCTGCTGCAGTGCACAGAGCAAAAACCCTGGGGTTTTGCACTAGGAAACGAGGGTGTGCAGCCAAGATCTCCCTCTCAGCATCAAATCTGAGGGCTGGGGTTGTACGGACGAGCTCAAGGGCGAGGACCTGCTGGGCAGGACAGGGGGGTCTCCCTACTTCCTGGGAGCTGTGGAATACCGGGCTCACAAACCCAAGTGGCATCTCCATAGGGTGGAATGCGCCCAGTGTCTGCCCTGCCAGCACCACTGGGAGATGCCAACCGTGCTTTTAACAACGGTCTCATTTTCTTCCCAAAGGGAAACCCAAGCCATTAAAGGAGCCCTAAATCCTCCCTGCACAAGGAAACCCCAGGAAAGGACACCATGGGAAGTGCTCAAGGTTGGATGGGGCTTGGAGCAAGCTGCTCTAGGGGAAGGGCTTGGAACTGGATGAGCTTTAAGGTCCCTTCCAACACAAACCATTCCAGTGCAGGAGGGGATGGATCCTGCATCCACACATCAGGACCAGTCCCGGAGCCGTTACCTGCTCGATGGGGATGACGAGGAAGGAGCCGCCGCCGGCGCTCTCCGTCACGATGGCGATGAAGCTGGCGTTGACGGCGCAGAAGTGGTTGTCGTGCACGTTCTTGGTGATGGGGACGCCGTCGAAGCAGTGCTCCCGGCTCGCCACCTTCCCGTAGACGTTCCGGAACTTGGAGCTGCGGTACTGCGGGCGCCATGACATCTGCAGGGCAACACAGAGGGCTCAGCATCCCCCAGTACCCCGCTTCCCACCCCGTGCTCCAATAGGGATTCTGCCTTTCAAGGCATGGCGGTAGCGGGGCGGCAAATAGGACACCCTTGATATCAATCTGAGGTGGCACAAGGGACCGCTCACAAAAGGCATTAAAAGGCTCTCTGCTGTTGCAAGATTGAAGCTGCTCTCCTTTGGAGCATGAGCTGTTATCTGGAGCACGCAGCACCAAGGCTCCGTGGGCATATGACAGATGCATTAAGGCTTTTAATGCGGTGGCTTGGAAATGGATCAGTCTGGACCACATGAACGCAGGCAGTGGGGCAGAAGAAGAGCACTTAAGGCAGGGAGTGAGCAGCGCAGAGCTGGTCCAGGCTGTGCTCAGCTGTCTCGGCTCATTCCGTACAGGTTTTCCCACTTGGAATAACCAACAGCTTTGTAGGAGCACTTGTTCCCACTGGTGAGATGCCCTCAGGTACTCACCAGCTCATCAGTGTGGACCAGAGATCCCACAGACCCACCAGCTCATTCCAGTGGACTCTAGGGATCCTATAGACCCATCAGCTGAGATCTCATGGGTCCACAAGCTCATCCCTCTTCCCCATAGCATGTCCAAGCACTGCAGAAATGAATGTGCTTTCTCTGCTCCTCACCACTTTGCTTTTCCTAAGTAAAACTATGGACTGTTTTCCCATTTCAGTCCTCTACGAGCATTCCTTATGGCAGCACAAGTATCCATGATGAAATCTATGAAGATTTAAGGCCCTTCAAGCTCGCAGGGCAGTCTAAGTGTTTAAGCCACCTTAAAGCCGCATAACTCTTCACTCTATCCATACACATGAGGGCTCGACACCACTCATGTCTTCATATCTATTGACAAGAGCATGTAAGTGTGCACTTAAGCACTGGAGCATCTCCTAGCAAAGGGCAATGCCAGAGAAACGCTCCAGTGGCTCCTCTAATCCTGAAGAAATCCAATTCCCTGTTTCCATCCCCAAAACCCAGCACCATGGGCACAAGGTTGGGAGCACCAAGTGGCTGACCTGCTCTAGTGGAAGGTGTCCCTGCCCAAGGCTCTAAGGTCCCTTCATCCCAAACCATTCCATGATCCTAAGCTCACCACCTCAACCCATGGCTATGGGGCAAAAGGCAGAGGTTCGGCCATCCCCAGGCTGCAAGGAGAAAGGACACAGATCCTTGCGGATTTAACCCAAAACGAGAGCAGAGAGTTGCTGTTTTCAGCTGGAGACATCTCTGCTCTGCAGAAATGCAGACTCACGTCCAACAAAGCCCTGGGGATCGTTGCCAAACCGAGTCGGAGCCAGGCAGGACAAGGGGAAACAGCCCGAGCACAGCCTGAGGAGTGCCTTTCATTGGGTTTCACTCTTGCATCTTCCTTTGTCTGAGCGGTTTTCGCATTGAAATTTAACCTTTTATTGTGCAAATGCAGCACTAAAATGTATTTTGAGGGTGTTTGAAGCTCCCGATTTGCTCCATGGTCCCCAGACTTTGATTTCTGCTGTCTGTGCCCCTCTGTTCCAGACTGACTGCAAAAAAAAAGCCCCATAATCTACCAAAATGGGCCTTTTCCCCCTATTTTTGCCCCTCTAAACTCTTCAGATGCCTCATAGCATCTCCCCACACAGGAGAAAACCCATGTGCCCCACTGCAGAAACCCCTCTGACCCTGTGGGGTAGCAGAAAAGAGGCTCCCAAGAGTTCTGCATCCAGGAATTCAACCTGACAAATCACCTCCAAGCAAAGCACCAGCACAAATAAGCTCTGAGAAGCCCAGAGGTGGGTTTTACCCTTCACATGGGTCCTCCCATGTGTGCTGTGGGTGCTCCGTATTCCCTGTGGTCCCCAGCCACCGGGGTGATGCTGCTCCAGCATCTTTTGCATCTGTTTTTCCCCACTCCTCCCTGTTCTATTCCTTCTCCAAAGGCAGGGCCAGGCTCCATTCAGGAGCTGGGAGGAAGGAATAAGCCCAAGTGCCTGTTTCCCTAGAGAAATCCAGAGTTTCTTTCCCTTAACCTCAGCCAGTGTTTCCTGTATCCGAACCTCACATCATCCCACAGCCCCAGGGCTGAAGCAGCCTGGAAACAACAGAATCCCTGCTCAGGGCTGCCCAGAGCCCACATTGTGCTGCGAGAGGCTCCCGGATGGGCCCCTTCCTGCAGATCCTTGGCTTTGGAAGGTGGAGGAGGCCTTCCCAAGCCAGGAATAGATCCTGTGCCACATGGAGAGCCAGAGGGTTTCAGCCCCATCGCTATCAGGGAGCACCAGCCTTTGGATGGGGAGGAGCAGGGAAACGCAGCCAATGGGCAGTTTCATGCTGATGGAGGATTTAAAGCCATTTACAGTCCCTGCATAGGCATTGCCTACAAACAGAAACCTAGAAAGATGGTCTGGCCAAAATAAAACCACCAGTTTCCCATCTGGGTTCTCCCATTTGGGTTATTTCCCATCGCATTATCCCATTTGGGTGTTGTCGTAATTGATGTCTCAGTTCCAGATTGATGAAAACTTTGAGTTTCCAAGCAGATGCCAGCTTTGGTTTTCCATTTAACTGCATTATTCATTCCTCCACTTATTTTCCCCCACTATAAAGACTTCGACCTTCGCTTTGAAACTGGTGCTGCAGACAGGGACATCTCATGGAGCTTCCAAGCACCCAGGGGATGGTGGAAGGAGCAGGAGCCCATTGGACACCACAGCTCTACCCAGGAAGATTTCCCTGGCACCCAACTGCTCCCAAAGGATGCAGAGAGAGCACAAGGCCTCTGAGTGACCTAAGGGATGCCAGGAAGAAGGAAACCAATGAAAAACCAACACGTGAATGGTGATGCACAGCCCCTATGTGCAAACGTGGCTGCTGACAGGTTCCATGTGGGGTGTCTTCCCAGCAGAATACATAGTTCCACAAGAAACCCCACTTTATGATGGAAAACTGTTGAAAACCAGGTGATTTTTCTAGCCAGGAGGATGGGAATCTCCTATCTCGCAGCCTCTGCAATCCAGAGCAGTGCTGTAGCTTCAAATGGGACATGGTTCTCTTATTTACTTATTTATTTTCCTTCCACATATTCCTTTGCAGAGTCCTTCACTCCCTGGGGTTTCCGGGCTCGGAGGAGGAGGAATGCTGGAGTTTGGAGCTGCACAAACATCCTATTTCCTGGGGAAGGCTTTTGAAGGCGAGGAGGGGATGGAGGGGAGATGTGGGATGCTGTGGTGTGATACAGCACAGAGCATTTTGCAGATGGTGCTGAGGAAACAGCCCCTTCCCCAAAGGAGTGAGACAAAGCAGGAGAGGAAAGGCTGGAAAAGACCCAGTCCCGGTTCCACCCTGATCCCAGTGCCCTGAGCTTCCTCCCAGGGGCACGGTGATGGTGCTGGGGGCTTTGGATGGGTTTTGCATGTGGAGATTGAAGCATCCCGTGGCCCACAGGGTGGGGGGACATTGGCCATGACCCCGATGTGGTGGCGTTGGTGTGCTCAAGGGGATGGGGCCTTCCCCAACACTTAAAGAGAGACTTAAAGAGCGGAATGGCTTGAACCTGCCCGAGGTTGGACACAGGGGCTTGGAGCAAGCTGCTCCAGTGGAAGGGGTCCCTGCCCGTGGCAGGGGTTGGAACTGGATGAACTTTAAGGTCCCTTCCAACCCAAACCAATTGGTGACTATTGCATTGCTGTCTTCACCTTGAACTGAAACCCTTGCATTTCAGCACCCATGGAGATGAGCAGCATTGCAAACTCTTGGTTGGGTTATTTTCCCCCAAATTTCTTTACCTTTTCCTTCTCACTCACAACTTCTTTGACTTTAAAACCGTGCTCAGAACTCATCGATCCCATTGCAAATCATCCCCCCTCTATGCCCACACTTTGCTATTCTCTAAAACAGAGAAATGGGAAGAGGAAACGGGGTGAATTCAGGGAAGATGGGGGATGCTGGAAGCTCATTTTAGCTCCTGTGTGCCTCTTGCCCTGGTGCACGTGCATGAAGCCACAGATGTTCCCGGAGCAATGGCTCTGATGGAGCTGCTTTTATCAAGGGCCCAGCTCTGGAAGCCGTTATCCCTATCCTTTGCAATCCTTCAATATGCAATTCCTATGAACCTTGCTTTTTGAGCAATTCCCCACGTCCTCCTGATGCTAACGGGTGGTTTTATTTTTCCATCACCTCACTCTCCATGGCTCAGAGGCATTAAAAGTAATATTATTGATTTATAGGAGTCATTTCCATCCATCTCTGGATCCGGAGCCGTGTGCCACCATTTCCAGGGTTCACTCTGGTCCTGTGTTATTCCTGGACTCTGGTTTTTCCTTCCATTACAAAACTCCTCTCTTGTTTTGAGCAGAACTTGCACAAAACCCGAGAATACCATCAAGCACTTTGAAGTGAGGCAATGAAATAAATCACAGCACCCAGCACCACCGTCAGCCCCATGAAACAAGCAGAGGAATTCTCTGCTCCGCTCTGGTGGTTTTAGGCTCATTGCAATGTTTGGCTTCTTTAAGTGCATGAGGGGAACAGCGTGTCCCACATCCCAAGCTGGGAGGAGGAAACCCCTTTGGCAACAGGTTAGAGCAGAAAGCTGCGCATTGGGAAGCCTTGAGCAGTGATGCAGGCCAGTGCTGAGCATCCAGTACCCCTGGATGGGAGGAGGAGGATGGGCAGCGCTGCCATCCCGCTCCTCCTCTCCAAACAAAAGAACAAAGCAGCTCATTGAGGTTTCATAATGGGAACAAGGATATCTGCACTGGGGCTGGGGAACATCCTGCCTGCAGCTGAAATATCCCATTGAGGAGAAAGGCAGAGAAGGGTTTGTGTGTCGCTTCCGAGCTGTTCCTCAAAACCAGAGGCAAACACAGAGCTGGAGGTGGGGAGCACCCCAGGAGCAGTGTTACAGGTGAGGAGGCAGGGGTTTGCAGCTCTGGGTGAAGCCTGTCACACTCCCTGCACCTCTGAAGGGCTGCACTGGTATCTGACTG